AAGAGGCTGCGTAGCAAAGGCGAAAATTGGCCAAAAAAGTGAGGGCTGGGAAAATTATTTTTAAAATGGAGAAGTAATCAATAAATCTCTGTAAGACTCTGTAAGATCAAAGGAAGGAGCAGATGACGAAGGGGAAGAAAAGAAAAACAAGGTGAAGGTGACTAAAAAAAAAAAAAAGAAAGAAAGCATGTCAAGACCTTAGTAGCAGTCTGGGAAAGGTGTAATACTGAGGAGACAGAAAAGGGAGGCCGGGGAAGAGCATGAGAAGAAAGAGGAAGTAGGAGAGAGAAGCGCAGGGAAGGGCTGACTCCAAAGAGAAGAGCAGAGCTTGACTTCCACCTGTTAGGTGGGGTCATGGTCTAGGAGGATGAATGGGCTATTTGAAGTATTGTCCCAAGTTTGAATGAACGATGAAGGATTTTTGGATAGGATTTGATATTTGCCCTGTTATATCAGGAAACTCAGACACACATATCTAAGAGAGAAAAGACAATGTGTAGATGATGAAAGGATTAAGGATTTATATGATTTGCAGACAGCAGAGTTAGAGGGGGGATAGCTGGAAGAGCAGAATCAGCAGGGAATGGATGGACTACAGACATGTTTGAGGCAAAAACTGCAGCAAAGCCAATAAAATGAGGAAAGAGAAGGATAAAATGGATAGAGAATGCTGTATGATAAGCACCAAATGGTTCGCAATAACAGAAAAAGCTAAAAAAAGAAAGAATGTCTAAAAACTGTTGCAATGTCCTTCTGAATCAGTGGTTTTGAATGTGTTACATGCCTGATTAAATGGGGACAAATATGGGTTTTATACTGTGCAACATAAAACATACCAAGTATTTAAGACTCCTTCTCAAAAATTTCACATCAATTCACATCAATAGCATAATAAAAAAAATCCCAGTAGAAAATACAGTTCAAAAAACAATGAATAACACAGAAGCAGTTTAGTGCAAATTTGGCTGAAACTATTGTCTGGTTGACATTACTGATTTTGTCTAAATGACTCTTGATTACACATGGAGAATTTTTTAAAAAGCTTCTTTGGATAAATAGGCAGTTTTTCTAAACAGAGATTATTGGAGCATGTTAGATTCACTGCACTCCTTTTTTATTTATTCCTTTCACTTTATGTAAGTCATCTGGTATCACTGAAAAACAATTTGTCTCCTCATTTCACTAGATAAAGTACCTGAATTACCTATCCAACAGTGGGGTTTAATCCCCTTGTACAGAAGTACCTCTCTGTATTTTTACTTTATAGCATTTTCTTCACATGCTTTTTCCCAATAACACAAAAATTCACTGCTATGTAGAGTTCTGTGAGAATCTCAGATAGCTGATGTGTAAAAGAAGGAAAACCAAGAAAAGTTACAATATTGTAGCTTGTTACTTACTATAAGATAGTATAGAAGATAGTCCCTCTCTTTTTATAAAGATCTGAAGAAACTATGATTGTAATAACATGGCCAAAGAGAGATCAAAGCAGCAGAACCGTAAATGGAGAGAGTTATAAACACATTAAGACATGAGGAAAAGGGAACAGCTTTTGCCAGACATGCAGCCATGTCCAGCAAATGGGGATCATTGGCATTGGCAATGCACAAGTTACGGGGACCAGGGTGATTGTACAGTCTTTTCAAGCGTATTTGAATTTCTGAAGTATTTCTGTATTTCTGAGGTATTTAATTGCTTCAGTGGTTGATTCAGGTTGCAGACCTGAATGCACAGCTACCAAAAGCATACGGCTTTCTTCCTTTAAAGTATCCTAACTTTAATGAAAGGAGATTCTAGGGCTGCTCATACAGCTGATGAAGGCAGCAGTTGATGGAGTCAACCGGCAGCACACGAGTCAAACAAGGCACAAACAAGGCACAAACAAGGCACAAACAAGGCACCTAATGAACTTTTCACTGGCCCTGCGAAAGCCTCCAGCTGTGAGGCAGAGCATTTTTGCTATTCCACTGAAAGACAGTGGACTCGAGGGAACTCAAGGGGCCCTTCAGGTTAGAGATGGCTCTCTCAGGCTCAGGCTTCGCCTTAGCTATCAAGCCCTGCAGATGTGAGCTAAGTCTGTCTGCTGCAGGGACCTCATAGCCTTGCTATGTCTTTTTCATACATTCTCATGTCATCTGTCATTATATTACGTTATCAGGATTTTTCCACTATCCACAACACTGCAGCTTTCTGCCACATACTTAGTCCATCACTATGAGTAAGGGAGAATTAATTATAAAAAATGCCCCACTCTAATATCTGGACAGGGATAAATATGATCCCTGAAAGTAAAGAAACCGTCTCTCTACTTTTTATCAGTATATATGTCACTGCCTCCAAGATATGAATAATCCTCTTCTCAGCTGTGGCCAGTGACAGGACAAGGGGCAATGGGTACAAGTTGCAACACAGGCAGTTCCATCTCTACATGAGGAAGAACTTCTTCACTGTGAGGGTGCCCGAGCCCTGGCACAGGCTGCCCAGGGAGGCTGTGGAGTCTCCTTCTCTGGAGATCTTCCAAACCCGCCTGGATGCCGCCCTGTGCCCCGTGCTCTGGGTGTCCCTGCTGGAGCAGGGGGTTGGACTAGGTGATCTCGAGAGGGCCCTTCCAACCCCAACCATTCTGGGATTCTGTGTGAAACCTATATTGAATAATATTGTTCTTCGACCAATTCTTTTATTTTTTTAAGTCAGTAAAGTAAATCTACCTATTTATGTTTTCTTGAAGCAACTCTGTTTTCTTGAAGCAACTTCAGTGTAGACACGCAACGCTTTGACAGTGTAAACTTGTAGCTTAAGCCTCATATTAATTTCAGCATACATTTGGGGCCCCCATTTTAGAACAGGGTTGGAAAACCATGGTAAAAACAGGGTTTACACCAGGGTTACAACTGCCAAGAGTGTAGGATTTTTTTAATACAATTAGATTTCAGGAAGGAATTTATTCAAGTGATAAGAAAAGTTTAAACTAACATATTTATAAACAAGAAAAGTGAAAAGATAAAGATATTTTCTGCAGTGTTTGTCTCTAGGGGCACGAACAACTGTGACCATATAAGATGAACTGCCCAACATGAGTTGTTCTCTAAATCTCTGCTTTTGAAAATGGAAAAAAACTCATTCACAGTCATCAGAACAATCACCTTCTTTCCTTCCTCACTCTACTGTTTGAAGTTATGTGGGCTGGACACCAAACACAACATTTTTTCACCATACCTTCTAAGCAAGTTGAAGCAGAATATGAATAATTGCATTGACCAGAGAAAAACAGTAATTAAAATAAAAAAATCCTCAACTAAAGCTGCAGTGCTCCTCAAGCATTTTTAATTTGTCGAGCCCTCAGCGTTCTAAAATTAATTAAAGCTTTAATGAAAGTTGCCTGCTATCTGACTACCAAATCTGGTTTTTCTAATATCCAGCCACCCTGGCTCTCAATTAAGACTCAAAGAGTCAAAAACTGATGAGAAGGGACATCATAAATGTTTTATGCCTGTCCTATTTTTGTGCATGGCACATTTCTTATTCTACTTAATGCATCCATATGGTTCTTTAATTCTTTCATTACTGTGAGTTTCACATTATGGTTATTTCATTATAGGTTATATCAATTTTCAGATAGTTCCCTAGGAAGCATATTTAAAAATTAAAGCTACAAACAAGTTTTTGATTTTGAGATCTATACACTAAATATCTATTTAATTATCATCATATTGCCTACTTCTAGATGGTTTAGTTATTGCCTTTTCTTGTATTTACTTGATCAACTTTTAATAGTTTTCTTCCTGTTTCATAAGCTGGGTGGCATTTTAAATTTGCAAATTTCCTTTTTCATTTAATTCCAGACAACAGTCACTCATTCCAGCCACAAAAGTATGTATACTGTATGTCAGAGAGGTGTTCCTAGCAATTTGTCAATTCATTTCTATTGCCTGCATGTATTTTTATTCTGGGTAATTAGGCAGAGCCATAGCATCCTGCAGCATCATTCCAGAGATTCTTCTCCAGCCCAAAATACTTACGTTTTAATGGCCCGTCAGATGAGAATATTGTATGTCTACAAAATTACGGTAGGATACCTGAAATCAATCTATTATAGTGTCATTTTCATTACTCTAAATTGAAATACCAGATCTATTTGTAATTATTAGCTTCCAGAACCATGTTCTTAATTGGCCAATACATTAAGTACTGCAGAAAGAAAGCATAATGGCAACAATTTGCAGGAATATATAAATGTTGCCAGAGCACTATGGGATTGTAACAGAAGTCATCACTGTTTCTGTTGGTGTGTTTTGAAAAATGCAAACAACATTACTAGTACAATTAGTCCCAGCAAAAGGATAACCTCTTGTTCTAACACGCCACCTTATGCTGACGGGAACAGGAAAACAGGCAAAAACAAAAAGATATTTAATTAATGACACTGTGTGAATCAAACAAAACAAACCTTAGCACACTGTAAATGCAAAAATCGTGATTTACACTCATCGATTTCTGTGCTACAGTGTATTACACAACGACCATTATCAAATAAAATGTTTACTTTTAGTTAAATGTGTATAAAATAGACATTCTAATATGATCCCCAACATGATCATGAGCTGAAAATGTGAACCTGTTTAAATAAACAAAAATACAACATTTGCTGTCAACCACTTTCCTGCACTCTCCAGTATACTACATTATTGCAATTCTATATGTTTACTGCCAACACATTCTAACATGGTTCTATCATATATTGCACTCAAAG